CGTCCCCAAATAATTAAAGCTAATATGTTGGGCCAGGAGACAAGGGTTAGGGCACTTGCCTTGCATGTAGCCCGCCCTGGCAGCACAGATGGGCCCCGGGGTACTGCCAGGAGCGATCCCTGAGCACAGAGCCCAGAGCATAGCATGGAGTGGCCCTAAACAAACAAAAGCTGCCGTGCTGGTGGCGGGTGTAGAGTGTGTCGCTAATGTGTGGCCTCTCTTGAGGGCTGTGCTGATCACACAGCGGGTACTTGCCTTGCACATACCCGACCCGTGTTCGATCCCCGTCACCCCGTAGTGTTACCCCTTGAGCACCACCAGGGCTAATTCCTGAGTGCAGAGCCAGGAGTCACCCCGAGCATTGGCAGGGGTGAATAAGGTGCTTCACTTGCACATGGCTGACCTGGGTTCGAGCCCCGGCCTGGGGTATGGTCCCCTGAGCACTGCCAGGAGTGATTCCTGAGTGCAGAGCCAAGAGCAACCTCTGAGCATGGCCAGTCATGGCTCAAAAATAAGAACCAAAAATCTGCCTTTCCTGCAGGGGTCCCTGGATGCAATTCTCAGCATCATGGGGGAAAAAAAGTCGACTTTTGTCTGGGGGGTGGGTCACACCTGACAGTGCACTGGGGCCCCTTCTCGCAGTGCTTAAGGAACCCCATAGTACTGAGGATGGACCTTGGGCCTCCTGCGTGCAGAGCAGGGCTCCAGCCCCGTGAGCTGGCTGTGGGTGCACAGAGGCTTCCTCACTGCTGGAGATTCGAGCCACAGATCACAGCTGCCTTACAAAGCCCCGTCTGGTACTGTCTCCACGTCCCCAAAGGCAACAGATATTTTTTGGTGTTTCATTGGGGCCACACCCAGAGGTGCTCAGGGCTCACTTCTGGTGGGGTTCAGGGGACCATGCGTGGTGCCACTAATCAAACTGGGTCTGGGGGTCGGAATGATAGTATAGCAGACGGGGCACTTGCCTTGCACACAGCCGACCCGGGTTTGATCTCCAGCATCCCATATCATCCCCGAGCACCACCAGGAGTAATTCCAGAGTACAGGACCAGAAATAAACTCTGAGCATTGCTGGCTGTGGCAAAACCCACAAAAACCAAAATTAAAAAAAACCTGGGTGGGCTTTGGGCAAGGCAAGTACCTTATCCACTGTACTATCTGTCTGACCAATTTTTTTATCACTTCACTATTCAACATTCAACCTTCTCAAGAAAGCATTCAAGAATCAACATGTATTATCTGTTTTCAGATCATGAGGAAGGCTCAGAGAGGTTAAGTAACTTGCTGAAGGTCACACAGCCAGGATTTGCTGGAGCTGGGATTCTGCTCCCCCACGCTGGGCTGGAATGTGCTGGTCACCACGAGGTCAGGCCTAATCCAAAGTTTCTGGGTATTTTTCCCTGTTGGCTCAGGATATCCTGAATGCGTCCAGCACTTGGCTCCACTTCTAAGCTAAGACTCCCGTGCTGTCTTTAACTGGAGGTACAATCACTATTTCAGCAAGTTAGGAAAAGTCCTGAACCCTAATTGTTGGCAGTCACATAAAGCGGCTTTATTTTTAAATGGCTCCGTTTCAGGAGGGTAAAAATTTAAAGATAATGATACTCCTTCAAATCGCCATTAAGAGGGCCAGAGAGATACTGCCAGGATTGAGGCCCTGTCTCTGCACGTGGCTGAGCCCCGTCTGGCCCCCGACACTGCAAGGGTCCCCCCTGAGCACAGAGCCAGGAGTAAGCCCTGAGAACTGCCACGTGTGGTCCCCAAACCAAAAATCCATCAGCAGGAGGCAAGAATCACAATCCGTTTTATGACTCCGAAACAAGGTTTCAACTCAGTACCTGGGGAATCAAACCCGCGTCTCCGGAGGTAAAAGCAGAGCCGTTTTGTAACTCCTAAGGCAGGTTTTCACCCCTGCAGCTTAGAGGACACATACTTGTGTTTGGTCAGAAAGGTTTCTGAGGACTAAGAGAGAGAAGTTCTTGTTTTGTGCTTTTCTTCTTTTTTTTTTTTTTTTTTTTTTTTTTTTGCTTTTTGGGTTATACCTGGCCATGCACAGGGGTTCCTCCTGGCTCTACACTCCAGAATCACTCCTGGTGGTGCTCAGGGGATCCTATGGGATGCTGGAAATCGAACCCAGGTCAGCTGAGTGCAAGGCAAATGCCCTACCCGTTGTGCTATCGCTCCAGCCCCTCTTCTTTTTTTTTTAATCCACATGTTCTATGGTACTTTCTGGTTAGAAAACAAATGCCTTCCTCTAACTAGGAAAGAGAGAACAACATGAAGCAAGGTCAGACCTGGGCCTGGGCCGTGACCCAGGGTGGGGAAAAGCCTCGTGTGACGTGTCGGTGGTCCTGGTTCTGACCCGCAGCACCGCCAACATTCTGGGGCTTGCTTTGGTTGAGGGGTGGGGAGGGTCACGCCTGGCAGCTCTAATAACCAGGGGTCATTCCTGGTCCAGGGCCGAGGGCCCCTCCCAGCAGTGTCAGGATTGTACTCGGGTCTCCTGAAGGACAGTCTGTGCCTGCCCTTTGACCTCTCTCCACTCCCGTTTGCTTCTCTGCCCACCCCCTCCTTGCTTGGCCTCCCCCCTGCCCCCCACTCTTGGTTTTAGGGCCACCCCCGATGGTGCTCAGGGCTTACTCATGGGTCCCTCCTGATGGTCCTCACGGGACCACATGGGATCTCAATCCGGGTCGGCCAGGTACCAGTCTAGAGCCCTACCCACTGAACTCTCCAGCCCCTCTTTCGCCTCTGCAGGCCGCTGCTAGAGAATGTTCTGCGTATTTCTATTGGGGACAGCTCTGGGCCCCGGGACTCCTTGGGGATCCGAGAGAGCACTTCTGAGAGTGGAGCAGAGCTACCGCGAGCCTTGGTGACAAGAGCCCTCCCTTCCCCCGGGGGTCAGCAGAAACCCGTCACTTCCGCCGAGCTCTGCGCTGTTTGTGGTCCCCCACTCCAGGAGGGACTCCGAGGGGGAGGACGTTTCCCTGTCAGAAATGACTCTAAGCAGTGGCCCCTCGTGGGATCGCCCAGCTGGGCCCGAGGGGGCCGGGTCACTGCACAGCGGGGCGAAGCCAAAGGGCGCCCACGAGCTCCTTACATAATTCTCGGTAGCGTGGGGCCAAGGTCTCTGCCGGGGAGCGGCGGGCACGCCCGGGCAGGCAGCCCCGCGCCGCTGCTCAGAGAATGTGTCAGAGAACTCACCCCCTCCCCTCCCCTCCCCTCCCCTCCACCCCGCCTTCCTCCTTCGTACCCCCGCCTCTTCTCTCCCTCTCTCTCTCTCTCTCTCCCCCCCAGCCCCCCCCCAACACCCAAGAAGGCAGATCACGGAGTAACCTTGTTTGCAAACGGGCCTGCGCCTTGCTTGAGCAGTAAACCCGGCTCAGTGGGACACTGTTATTTTTGGAGCCCGGGTTCTTAGCCTGATCTCTGTCTAAACCCATCTCAGCGCTTCTTCGTGAGGCGCGCGCGGGGCCATCTCTCCCGCACCCCGAGGGTCTGTGGGCCTAGAGGTGGGGGGTGGGGTGGGGCCTCTCCCCAGATCCAGCCTCAGGCCCCGGCTTTGCCTTCCCATCTGGCTCCTTAACATCCGAGGTTGCTTCACACCGCCCCCCACCTCATCCACGCACACTTTTTATTTATTTATTTACTTACTTATTTTGGCAGGGGGTGAAGCACCCAGCCATGTGTTCTGTGCTTAGATCTGTCTTGGCGGGTTCCGGGGACCATGGATGTGGTGCTGGGGTCACACCAGGCCTGGCAGTGTGCAAGGCAAGGGCCTTACCCCACACTATCCCTCTGGTCCGTCTCCCACCCCCTTTTTTTTTTTTTTTTTGCTTTTTGGGTCACACCTGGCGTTGCACAGAGGTTAATCCTGGTTCATGCACTCAGGAACTACTCCTGGCGGTGCTCGGGGAACCACATGGGAACCTGGGAATCGAACCCAGGTCAGCTGCATAAAAGGCAAACACCCTCCCCGCTGTGCTATGGCTCCAGTCCCCCCCCACCCCGTCTCCCCTTTCTTAATCTGGGTGCAGCTGTAGTGGGGACAGATGGGCACATCCTGCTGTGGGATTCCATCCCCCACCCCCAGGAACTGGGCACAGAGAGCTGGTACCGAGATGAAGGAGTTCGCGTTGCACGCAGCCGACCCAGTTTCAATCCCTGGCACCCCTTGTAATCCGGAGCTCCGCCAGGATGAGCCCGAGCACCTTGGGGGCACAATGAAACAGCCGCCTTCTTAGAGCCTGAGCGACAGGACAGTGGGGAGGGCGCTGGCCCTGCACACAGCTGAACGGGGTTTGATCCCTGGCACCCCACTGGGTCCCCTGAGCCCTTCCAGGGTGATCCCTGAGCAAAAGCAAGCCCTGAGCAGCACTTGATGTGGCCTAGAAACTGTAGCACTGCAGCACTGTCCTCCGCTGTTCATCGATTTGCTCCAGCGGGCAACAGTAACATCTCCATTGTGAGATGGTTGTTACTGTTTCCAGCATATCGAATTCCCACGGGGAGCTTGTCGGGCTCTGCTGTGCTGGCGGGATACTCTCGGAAGCTTGCCGAGAGGGATGGAGGGATGGAACCCAGGTTGGCCGCGTCAAGGCCAACGCCCTACCTGCTGTGCTATGGCTCCAGCCCCAACAAGCAATCAAAACCTTCCTCTTTAACCTTGGGGTCCCTCCGGGACAAGCCGGGGGTAGGTCCCAGCCTGTGCCTGGCCTGGGGGAGCCAGTGGCCCTCTAGGGTCCTCTGCACCCCCAGGGTGGCCTCAAGCCCCAAACCGCACCTGACAATGCTCCTTCCTCTGAGCTGTGAGTCGAGGGGTGCAGGGAGGGGCCCGGGAGCTCAGTTAGCAGCTGGCGGCTATAGATAGGCCGCAAAGCTTCTTACCCCGGAGGGCACCGCGCGCCCCTGCGCGCGCCTGGCAGTCCCAGGCGGGGGATCCCCGGCGCACCCCCAGACCCCCGGCCGGCCGGGCTGTCCCCGCGCAGGGTGCAGCCATGGTGGACATGGGGGGCCTGGACAATCTCATCGCCAACACAGCCTACCTGCAGGCGCGCAAGAGCAGGGACGCGGACAGCCGCGAGCTGCAGCGGCGCCGCCGCAGCCTGGCCCTGCCCGCGCTGCCCAGCTGCGAGCCGCTGCGCCGGGCGCTGCCCCGCGACTTCCACAGCCTGTGCGAGCTGCAGCCCATCGGCCGCCGCCTCTTCGGGGCCTTCCTGGCCACCGTGCCCGCCTACGGCCCGGCCGCCGCCTTCCTGGAGGACGTGCAGGCCTGGGAGCTGGCCGAGGAGGCCCCGGGCCGCGCGCGCGCCGGGCAGGCGCTGCTGGCCACCGGCGCGGCCAGCCCGCACCCCTTCCTCAGCCCCGCGCTGGCCGACAGGTGCCAAGCCGCCGGCCCCGACGAGCAGGACGCCCTGGTGGCCCTGGCCAAAGCGGAGGCCGTGGCCTTCCTGCAGGACCGGCCCTTCCAGGAGTTCCTGGGCAGCCCCTTCTACGACAAGTTCCTGCAGTGGAAGGCCTTCGAGCGGCAGCCCGTGTCCGACAAGTACTTCACCGAGTTCCGGGTGCTGGGCAAGGGCGGGTTTGGGGAGGTAAGTGGTTCCCGCCGGGCCCCAGGGCCCAGTGGCAAAGCATCAAAATGCTCTTGGGTTCGGCTTTCTCCCCCACCCCCTGCGTCTCAGGGGAGCTTGTTGAGAACTCGGGTCTGTGCCAAGCGTGGAGAATTCCAGGCCCAGCATGGGAATCCCCCCGCTGGAGAAGGGCAGGCTCAAACGGGGGAGGCGCAGGGGTCCGCCTGGAACACAGCTGAGGTGCCCAGGGCTCTGGGGGAGGGGCCTTCCCCCCTCATCGTGGTCTGAGAGGTGACCCCCGGTGGGGGGGGGGAGTGTTGCAGGGAGCTCAGCAGACAGGCGTCTGGGTTCACCCACTGCCCCCTGACTCTCCGGCCTCCGACGAAAGTGCTCTGAGTGCAGGCTGAGGCCTGTTTTGTGCCGTCAGGAGGCCCAGCTTCTATCAGGGAACCACGTGGTCGCCCTCCCCCCACCCCCAGCACAGAAGCGGGAGCCACCCCCCCAACCCCTCCACACCACAAAATCTGACAAATGCTGGGCTGAGGGGGATCACATAGCCTGCAAGACTGTATTCATCATGACTCGGAGTTTTCCCCACGTCCAGGGACCGGCACCCCTGGTGCCAGGACATTCCATCCCCCCCGGAGTTAACATCACCCGTCCCTGCTCCCAGCCGCCTGCCCGCGAGCTTGTATCTGCTTCTGATCTCTGCATTTGCCTTATTCGGACGTTCCATAAAAGTGCAGTCACAAGGCCGGAGGGACAGTGCCACGGGGAAGGCACTTCCCTTGCACATGACTGCCCCGGGTTTGGTCCTTGGCAGCACCCCGAGCCCCGCCAGGAGTGACCCCGGGGCCCAGAGCCAGGAGGAAGCCCTGAGCCCCACCAGGTGTGGGCCAAAAAGCAAACGAAAAGTCCAGAAGAGGGGCTGGAGTGATAGCACAGCAGGGAGGGCATTTGCCTTGCACGCGGCCAACCCGGGTTCGATTCCCAGCATCCCATAGGGTCCCCCGAGCAACGCCAGGAGTCATTCCCGAGTGCATGAGCCAGGAGTAACCCCTGAGCATCGCCAGGTGTGGCCCAAAAAGAAAAAGAAAAAAAAGGCCAGAAGAAGCCACACGTCCTGCGACCCTGTGGTTCCTCCTGCCTGGCACAGCAGGGCCCCTTTCCCTGCCTTCTCGCCCCCCTCCAGGGCGGCTCTGCCTTTGCCTGAGCCCTCCCCTTCTGTGCCCGCTGTGAGTGGTGCTGTCGGACTCCTTCCTGCGCCCGCCGGCGAGTCCATACATGTTTTTGTTTCTCTCGGGATATGCCGGGCTGGGGAGGAAGCATTTCCTGTTCCCATCGGCCACACACTGATTTCTCCTTCCTGGCTGAGCGCAGGCTTGGCACGTGGAGGCCTGGAGTCTGTCACCAGCACCTTCTGATCGTCCTGCAGCCCAGCATTTGCCGGGAGGGATCCCCGAGCACCAGACTGGGTAGTAGTCCCGGACCTCTGCTGCCAGGCCTTCTGGGTCCAGCGGGTAGCACGCTTGCCTTGAACACAGCTGAGCGGGATCTATCCCTAGCACTGCATAGAATCCCCCCAAACTCTGCCAGCAGTGATCCTGGAGCACAGAGCCAAGAGAGAGCCCTGAGCACCACTCGATGTGACCCCCAATGCAAAAAAAAAAAAAAAAGAAAAGAAAAATCAAGTTCTCTTTAAAAAAAAAAATTGTGGGGGGGGTGGAGCAATAGCACCGTGGGTAGGCCATTTGCCTTGCATGTGGCCAAACCAGGTTCGATTCCCAGCATCCCATATGGTCCCCTGAGCACCACCAGGAGTGATTCCTGAGTAAAGACACAGGAGTAACCCCTGTGCATCGCCGGGTGTGACCCAAAAAGAAAAAAAAGACAATTTTTTTAATATACTTTTGGGTCAAGCAAAGTAGTTTTTATTGAAAGGAATTTAGAAGGGCCGGGGTGATACCACAGTGGAGAGGGCGTTTGCCTTGCACGCAGCCAACCTGGGTTCGATCCCCGGCATCTCATATGGTCCCCTGAGTGCAGAGCCAGGAGTAACCCCTGAGTATCACCAGGTGTGACCCAAAAATCCAAAATAAAAAAGAAAGCAAGGAATTTAGAGCACTCTAAGGGTCCGAGAGCGGAGAGAAACACGTGTTCAGGAGGGCATGTGGACTTCCCCAGCAGGAAGGGTCTCTCTGCCCACCCCGGAATTCACCAACGCGCTCGCCTCCATCCCGCCTCACCTCCGTCCCTCCAGGTCTGCGCCGTGCAGGTGAGGGACTCGGGCAAGATGTATGCCTGTAAGAAGCTGGACAAGAAGCGACTGAAGAAGAAGAATGGGGAGAAGATGGCGCTGTCGGAGAAGGAGATCCTGGAGCGCGTCCGCAGCCCCTTCATCGTGTCCCTGGCCTACGCCTTCCAGACCAAGTCCCACCTCTGCCTGGTCATGAGCCTGATGAACGGCGGGGACCTCAAGTTCCACATCTACCACGTGGGCACGCGGGGCCTGCCGCTGAGCCGCGTGGTCTTCTATTCGGCGCAGATGGCCTGCGGCCTGCTGCACCTGCACGCCCAGAGCATTGTCTACCGGGACCTGAAGCCCGAGAACGTCCTCCTGGACGATGCCGGCAACTGCAGGCTGTCCGACCTGGGGCTGGCCGTGCAGGTCCCCGAGGGCAAGGCCATCACACAGAGGGTGAGTGGGGCGCTCGGCTGGCAGAGGGGAGGCCTGCCCCCCACCCACCCCCACTCCCAGCGAAGGCAGCCTCGTGCAGTAATTCCACTAATGTTCTTTTCCTAAATCTAAAACGCTTAAGATAGGGGTTTGCCTTCAGCAGGAAGATGTAAGAGGATTAGCCCGGGCTCCTGGGAGGCCCCAGTCTCAGTCCTGGGCACATCTGGCCCAGAAGCCCCTCCCTCCCCTGGGCCACATAGTAGAAAGTACTCAGGAGGGAACCTTTCGTGGATGGGGGGGAGGGGTGTCGGGGGCGGGGGGGGGGGCTGCCACTTAGCACAGTGGAGCTTCTCCATCGCTGCCAGACAGAGGGGGCTGGGGCGGCCACCCTGGGTACAGGGAACACCTTGAGTGAAGATATGGAGAAGAGGACAGAGGGCAACGGAGTTCGGTTTGGAGGGACTTGTCCAGAACTCTCTGGTTTACAAGCGAATGGTAAGTGTTGTAACACTTACCTGTAACACTGTTACCTGTTGTAACACTGGTGTGTTGGTGTGTCTCACTTATTCGAAGTGCGAAGATGGCCCAGGAAGACCAGGTCAGGGTCTTAAACGGTCACGTGAGAGTTTTTGTTCTCCAGGGGCGAGAGTTTTTGTTCTCCAGGGGCCAGAGAGTCAGGACTGCTAGCTTTGTGAGCAGCTGACCCAGCTTTGATTCCCCGGCACCCCAGAGGGTCCCCTAGCCCTGCTAGCTGTGATCCCTGAGCACAGAGCCAGGAGGAGAGCCTGAACACAGCCTTTGGCCCACACAACAACGCAACAAAGAGTTTTTATTTTCCCATCACAGTTCTCGGGGATGGGAGAGACTGGAATTTTAAGGCTCTTGCCCTGGTCAGATCCAGGTGACCGCACAAATGGCCCCTACGCACCACCAGGGGGCACTCCTGAGCATAGAGCCTGGGTGTGGCCTCAACCTCCAAACCCAAATCCAGTTCTCACCCATTTGTTCCTGAGGCGCCCAAAGAGGTGCAAGAGCATGCCAAGAGGGCCCGCAGGAGGCGAGGGGCAGTAGGATGCGCCCGCCAGCCCTGGGCTCAGTCCCTGCACCACAGGTCTAGCTCTGGTGCCCCTGAGCACTGCTTGGGAACCTCCCCACCCCCAAAAGGAAAAAACCTAAGTGTCCAAAGTGACTTCCTCATGACACCTGTCCCAACAGTAATATTTTCAGCCCACTTGGTGCAAAGCTAGTCAGCTGTGAGAACAGGAACGTGCTAGTGTCTCCATGTGGGAATGTGGCTGGGGAGTGTGTGTGTGTGTGTGTGTGTGTGTGTGTGTGTGTGCCTGCAGAGTCAGGGATCAAACCCAGGTCCCACACACATGCTCTACAACGCATGAAGCTGAGGTTGAGCTCGATTCTGTTACCAATTTGCATCTGAATCCACTGGGGTTAAGTTATGCTAGATGGTCGCAATTTCATCCTGCATAAAACTTCCTTCAGAATTGGAGACAAGGGACTGGAGTGACAGCACAGCGGGGAGGGCGTTTGCCTTGCACACATCCAACCTGGGTTCAATTCCCAGCATCCCATATGGTCCCCCGAGCACTGCCAGGAGTAATTCCTGAGTGCAGAGCCAGGAGTAACCCCTGTGCATCGCCCAGTATGACTCAAAAGCAAAAAAAAAAAAAAAAAAAATTGTTAATTTAAAAAAAAAAAAAGAATTGGAGACAAGGAGCCAGCACTGAGCCAGATTTAGCCCTAAGCACAGCCAGTAGTGACCCTAAAACTAAAACAAACTGACAAAGGTGGTAGATGATACAGTGAGTTGGACTCTTACCTTGTATGCAGCTGACCCAGATTCAATCCCTGGAACCCTATGTGGTCCTCCAGGCCCTGCTGGAGTGATCCATGGGTACGGAGCTGGGAGTAAGCCCCGAGCACTGCTGGGTATGCTCCCCCCAAAAAATAGTACTAATAAAAATCATTGAAGTCAAGTCTTTCAGACTGTGGTTTCTTTATTAACCAAGTTCATGTAATAGAAATCGGGGCCAGAATTAGATTTAGAAACCCAGGCCAGGACCATAGCTCAGAGGCTGAGGCCTTCGGTCCAGGCAGGATGCCGGGGTTCAATCCCAGCTCTACACAGACACCCCCCCCACACACACCAGCACCAAGCTGGAGCAGACTTCCAGATGTGGTCTCAAACCCCAAACTAAAACGGGATCTAAACTCCTGTCCATGTCGATATTTTTACCTACTCCCAGGGATTATAAATGGTCCCGATGGCATGTGGGGTGGTGAATTCTTTCCAGAAGGTTTTCTGTGTACTTGGCCCAGCTCCAGAGGAGCAACCGCTTTTCACAGCAGCTGCGCCTTACAAAATGAGCTTCCGAAATGTTGAAATGGCGCCTTTGTTTTTGGTGGTGCTGGGAGTTGAACCCCGCGCCTTCCATAAGCAGGGCAAGTGTTCTGCCCCTTAGCTATGGCCCTACAAGCCAACCGCTGGAAGGTTTTTTTGGTTTGGGTATTTGGGCCACACCAGGCAGTGCTCAGGAATCAACCTGGGGCTCCCACGTATAAACATACTCTCCTTAAACTCTTTGAACCTCCGTTTTTGTTTTGTTTTGTGTTTTTGGCCACCCCCAGCTGTGCTCAGGGGTTACTCCTGGCTCTGTACTCGGGGGTCACTCCTGGTGGTGTTCGGGAATGTTGGGGATTGAACCTGGGTCTGTCGCCCGCCAGGGAAATGCTCTGTCCGCTGTGCCGTCTGTCCCTCCAGCCCCTTTTCTTCACAACTCCTGCCCGTGAGGGCTTGCACAGACAGAGCCTGTGTTCTACCCCTCGAGCCATATCCCGGAGCTGTGACTCAGCTTTCTCGCCCACGTTGGCATTACCGCTAGATCCTAAGTGTTAATTAGACTCACGCTCATCCTGCTCATCCCGGGGCTGGGAAGCGGAGGGCGCTAAAGACATTGTCCCTGCAGAGAGCGCTGAGCCTCTGACCCGCCCTGGGTGTCTTCTGCCCTGGGGCGAGGGCAGAGCCTGCGGCTTTGACCAGCCCCAGTCCCGGATGAGATGATCTGTGAGGACCGCAAGGGCTTTTAAGATGTCATTGAGGTTCCTAATTGGTGAACCTTGAATGCTTCAAAGGTGACCCAGCTGGGTCTGACCCACTGGGGAGGTCTTTCAAGGTGGGGACAGAAGCAGGAGAGCACAGAAGAGAGAGATGGGGTGGGAGGCACGGGTGTGGCACAGTTGGACCCCAGGGGAAGCACAGATGGCTCTGTGTGTGTGTGTGTGTGTGTGTGTGTGTGTGTCCCCGAACTGGACTCAGGCTGTTTAGATTTAGGGGGTCCCACCAGGAAGGTGTCAGGCTGTGTCACAGGAGATGCCCACTCCCCAGGGTGGAGTCGAGACCCCAGCCAGTCTGGAGCTCTGGAACTGGGGTGAGTGTGGAGTTGCCTGCGGGGCCGGCCTGGGGTCTCCAGCAGAGAACCAGTTCCCGAGTGGGTGCGTTTGAGAACCAGCATGGCCCCACACTCAGTTCCGGGGCTCCCCGCCAGAAGAGCATGGGGGCCACATGTTCAGACATCAGGGGGAAATGGGTCTTTCGGGCCTGGCCCCTCCTTCGGGCACTCGGTGTTTGGGGGCTTAGTGAACACTGGTGAGTTGGAGGTTTGGTGTCACACTTCCGCCGTCTCTGCTGTCTGACCCAGCCCTCCACACAGGTTGCTTGCTTGAGGCCCCAGTTAGATCCACCCCCCCCACCCCAAATTGCTGGGCCACCCGCCCAAAAGAAACATTGGAAAGGATTTAACCCAGGGGCAACAGGCTGGACTTTACTTACTTAGTTTAATTTAGGTTTTATTTATTTCCTTTTTTACTCTCAGTAGGGCCCTGGGCCATATTTTGTGGGCTCAGGGGCTACTCCTGGCTCAGGGCTGACCCCTGGCAGTGCTCAGCGGACCCTATGTGGTGCCGGGGATTCGAATTAGAGCCCTGGCTGAGGCTGCCGCATGCACGGTGAGTGCCTCCCCTCCTGTCCCCCCTCTCTGGCCACAGGGCCCGCGAGTTTCACAGCTGTCTGGTCACTTCAGTCCTGAGTCCAGGGCCTGAGCTTTCTGTGATGGCCGCGCAGGGATGCCAGGCCGACTGCCCCCTGGTCCTGGGCACAGGGAGGCCCAGAATCACCCACTCCCAGCTCCCCAGCTCAGCCTTCTGGTCAGCCACCGCTGGGGGAGCACCAGCGCCTCTTCAGATGGGAGGGGAGCAGACAAGGGTGGGAGAAGCTGGGGAAGGGTTGGGGCACCTCTGGCCGGCGCTCGAGGAATAACAGCCATGTGGTTCGACGGGAAGGGCCTGGGCCCCGCAACCAAGGGTCTCGGGCCTCGTTCGCCGGAATAGCGCCAGGACACAGCTACGGACAAACTCACACTGGCTTTGATCTTTGGGTTTGTTTTTGTTGTTGTTGTTTTTCTTTGCTTTTTGGGTCACACCCGGTGCTGTTCAGGGCTTCCGCCTGGCTCTGCACTCAGGAATTACTCCTGGCAGTGCTGGGGGGGCCATATGGGATGCCGTGATTGAATTCGGGTCAACTGCATGCAAGGCAAACGTCCTCCCCGCTGTACTATCACTCCAGCCCTGATCTTTGGGTTTGTTGGGGGGCCAGGCCCGCTGGTGGCTCAGGGCTTACTCCTGGCAGTGCTTGGGATTGAACTGGGTTGGCCGTGGCAGGGCACGCGCCAACGCAGGCTTGGATCTGTTTTGACTCTACCCAGAGGTCCTGGGGTCCATGACATGCTCGCGTGCAGAGCGAGCCCTCTGGGCAGCCCGTGGTGTTTCCGTGGAGGGACCAGCCAGCCAGGCCAGCTCTGGGTGGATTCAGGGGAGGGCGGCCTCAGACAAGGACCCCCTTGGCTGAAATGAGGAAGGGCACCTGCAGACTCACCTCCACTGTCCCCGCTGCCAGCTGCAGTCTCTGGAACTGCTTTTTTTTTTTTTTACTCTGGCCTGGCTACGCTGCC